TCCGGGGTCAGTCCGGGGTCAGTCCGGGGTCAGTCCGGGGGTCAGTCCGGGGTCGGGGTCAGTCCGGGGTCAGTCCGGGGTCAGTCAGTCCGGGGTCAGTCCGGGGTCAGTCCGGGGTCAGTCCGGGGTCAGTCCGGGGTCAGTCCGGGGTCAGTCCGGGGTCAGTCCGGGGTCAGTCCGGGGTCAGTCCGGGGTCCGGGGAGTCCAGTCGGGGGTCAGTCCGGGGCCAGTCCAGGGTCAGTCCGGGGTCAGTCCGGGGCCAGTCCGGGGCCAGTCCGGGGCCAGTCCGGGGTCAGTCCGGGGTCAGTCCGGGGTCAGTCCGGGGTCAGTCCGGGGTCAGTCCGGGGTTAAGTCCAGGGTCAGTCCGGGGTCAGTCCGGGGTCAGTCCGGGGTCAGTCCGGGGTCAGTCCGGGGTCAGTCCGGGGTCAGTCCGGGGTCAGTCCGGGATCAGTCCGGGGTCAGTCCGGGGTCAGTCCGGGGTCAGTCCGGGGTCAGTCCGGGGTCAGTCCGGGGTCAGTCCGGAGCTCCGGAGTGCGTTTGGGCCGGGGTCAGTCCGGGGTCGGATCTGGGGTCTGCCTGAGGTCTGTCCGGGGTCTGTCCGGAGTCAGTCTGGGGCCAGCCTGGGTCAGTCCAGACTCACCGTGGATAGTCCTGGATCCCGGAGCGACCTGCAGGATTGACCGTGCAGACCGACCCCGTGTGTATGGAGCCTGGTCGGATCGAATTCAGCGCAGCCGAGCCGACCGCCACATTGCAAGGCGCACGCGTATGTGGCAACGCCCGAATGGAAAGGAGAGCGGAGAGTATGCTAATGCATGGGAAATGAAAATGCAAGCGGGCCGATCTAGTTTTCGGAATTGCAGAAGTCGGGGACCGAAACTTCCGATCTAGTTTAGCCGAGACCTAGTTTCACCGATTCTATGTTTAACGAGCGGAGTGCACGCGGTGATGCTCGATTTCCCTGTCTTGGGGTGCCCCCTCCACCACCACGACTGGGAGGGCGACCTGGCGGCAGGGCCCGGCAGTTCCGATCAGGGCATGCAGAAAGCAGCAGCTTTAGTGCGCTCCACGGCGGCCGCGTTCAAGGCTGCCAGAGGACGCTGGCTTTGCCGCCGCGTGGCGGGCGCTGTCCAGCACGTCGCGGTGGGGGGCCCCGCAGCACCTGATCCGCCCGCGCTTGTGGGGCGACTAGGCGTTCGCCGAGTACGAGAACGCGTCGCGGACGCGCTGACACGACGATCGGCGCCCCGCCGACCCCCAAACAATTCGCGATTGGCAACCCGCCGCTTCGAGACGGTGGCGCCGCCTTCGGATGGGCCACGCAACGGGCAGCTGCTGCTTGCCACGCGGGATGGCGCCACCACCCTTGGCGGCAGCGCGCGGGGGCCCCCTCTGTGTATGGAGCAGGGCCGCGCGCAACTGTCCCGGGCTTCGCCGTGGAGCTGAAAAAGGTGAGGGCTGATTCGAAAACCCTGGCCCCAACGTTTGCAGTCGACCAGATTTTCGATCGACTTGGGAGGAGGAGCCTACCAAGCGAATGCAGAAGGCGCTCGTGGACGCAATCTCTCAGGGAGCGCGCGCCTGTCCTCAACGGAGTCCAGGAATCCAGCTGGGCGCGGTTGCGGCATGCTGGTGGCGCCAGAGCAGGCAGTTCCACGTGCGCGCCACAGCCAAGCACCCAAGCCATGGCCTTGCGCCGGCGCCTGCTGTGCACAGTTGAACCGCTTGCGGAGACGCGTTGTCGCCACTCCAGACCTCGGGGTGATTACGGGGCGCAGCTGGATACTCAATGGCCTCTGGCACGCAGAAGGGTGCAACATCGGCGGGGGCGTGGCAGGGGGCCACAACGAGGATATGTTGTGGCGTTTTGTGCATGCGCGCATCGATTCCACGCGCTTCGTGGGCAGCGCCTGGAGAGCTTGCGGGTGCCAGCCTTGGAAGACGCAGCGGCCGACGACGACCTGGCCGACGTGTTGGGCGTCGTCTTCAACTACGACGGCTTGCACATCTCCATCGACGTCGCCATGGTGGGAGCGCGCGCAGACCCGCCGCGAGTCCAGGCAGCGGCCAGCCAGGACCGGGCGGCCGCCGCGGATGAGGAGAGGGCCAAACACCGGCGAGACGCGCCCCGTGCGTCCTGGAGGTCGGGAGTCGCCCTGGCGAAAACGCGCAGGCCGCCATCCGCATGCTGGCCGTCATGGCCGGCGCCGAAGCGAAGGCATCCGCGCTTGCTGCTGGCCTCTGGCAGGAGACCAGCGTGGCCCTGCAGGCCTCGGTGGACTGGCGCATTGCCAGCGCCTTCGCCCGCCCGGACTCCATGGCCCTGGCGGGCTCGACGTGAGGCCCCAGGGTGGACGCGGCGGGCCCGCGGGCGGCGCGCGCCGTTGCCGCAGATACAGAGGAAGAGGAGGAGGAGAAAGAGGAGGAGGAGGAGGAGGAGGAGGAGGAGGTGGGGTTGGTTCGACACCACCTCCAATGCCATTTGGAGTTGCTTAAGCTT